TGTTTCTTAGTTTCATACCGTAAATTAAAGTACTTTTGAAGTAATTTTTTTAATTCAATCTCGAAAAGCTTTTTCATTACTCCACTCCATCGCAGCCATACTTGCAACCCCGTGGCACTCACCGTGCACAATGAGACAAACGTAGTGTGGCCGCTTCAACGCGATTACTCGCGCGTTAATCCTTTGATGTACCGCCACTCGAGTTATCAGCAAACGGGAAACGGCATTGTTAATGCCGTTGTCAAATTATCGCGTGAATTCGTGGCCACACCTAAATTCAACGTCTATCAACGCGATAATTAACGGCATTTTTCCTTAGTGTGGCCGCAGCATAATTAATTATGCTGCGGCTACACTAAGGAAAAATTTAGTTTAAAATTTAGTTTTTAAATTACTTAATTTCTGAGCTACCGCATCTTTTCATTATATAACCTCTAAGATTAAAGTATCGTGTTTTATTTATTTAATGAAACACTGTGTCTATTTTGTATTTCTTGTGCTTTGTCTCTCTCTTCTTGTCTGATCCAAATAACCTACAAATATCAAGTAGTTTACAGACATTTTAAATATTATGATATTAACGTGATGTTATTATATCTACGTTTCGTTGTAAAATCGCAAAAACTACGTGTACAATGACACAGCTCGTTAGGAAAATGATGATAGACGGAACATGTGAGCGACGAGATCGTGTTTAAGAACCATGCCATGTAGCCCCTGTAGGCCTCGTTAGGCCCTCTTATTCCTCTGAACCCTACAGAATATGTTCAAGTTTTATTTATAGTTATTTTCATAAAACATACAATGCTTGTAAAGCCATTTAAATCTAATTAACTATTTACAAAGGTCAGATTTCTTTTTAATATAAAAGTGAAGTAACAAACACACTTACAGTTTAGGGAATGGGATAGTTTTGTGACGGTGAAGTGGTTATGGAAACCCACCAGAATCCCATCTGCAACCAACTTCAAGTCGCTTCGTGAACATCGGTGAAACACTCAAAAGTCCAAAATTTAAAACAAGCTTAAATTGAAGCGAAAAAATCAGTAAAAATATCTCAAAATCCAATGACAATGTAAAAATATGAATAAAACAAAATAAAACGAAGAAGATAAAAGAATTTTAGTCCGTTCTAGAAACGTGGTATATTTAGATTTTTTACCTAGTGACTTGTAAATATTTTCCTATTCTACACTTGTATATAGTTATATTCACGGGTTGCCGTCAACTATATTTTATTCTAATAATGTTTTCGTGTAATATATGTGAAATCAGAACCACTTGCTTGACAGTGATGTAGATCTCAAAGACCCGTCCCGAGTGCAAGTTTTCCAGTTGAACAATAAACTGTTACATAAAACCTTTGTAAATCTCATGGTTGAATCGTCTTGACCTGTTTGCTTAGTGTCAGGATCTATGAAAGTAATTTATATCTCCTTAAGTCGTATCCATACTGTATACTATATGATATAATAAAGCGGAAGATCTTTTTTGTTTTGTTAATACGTTAATCTTTGGAACTACCAGTCCGATTTGAAAAATTATTGTATATGACAGCCAGATTCATGAGGAATAGTATAGGCTATCTAGCATTAGGCTACACGTCTCAGCTAGCTTTAAATATTGATTAAATATTGTTAAGCAAGTCAGAGAAAAAGCGCTTCCGAAATTATTTATCCGCGTGAGCTGGCGTAATGGTTAGTGATACGTGAATACAATGTGCTGGAGAGGAAGTGGTGGCAGGCCTGCTGCACACCTTGTTTAATTTATGCTGGGAACGGAAGCGGGTACCGGTAGACTGGTGCAAAGCCGTGATAGTCCCAGTATATAAAGGAAGAGGGTCGCAGCAGGACTGTAAAAACTACCCTGGCATCAGCCTTCTTAGCATTGTGGGAAAACTGTATGCTAAGGTACTGATTGAAAGGGCCATGAAAGAAACTGATGGAAAAATTTGGGATGTGCAAGCGGGATTTAGAAAGGGAATGGGATGTACAGATCAAGTCTTTTCCATGCGCATGATCGCGGAGAAGTTTCTGGCCAAAAACCAAAAGGTTTTTTGTGCGTTCATGGACTTGGAAAAGGCCTATGACAGAGTGGAAAGGGATTTGCTATGGCAAACACTGAACTCATTTGGGTTGAGCGCTGGCTTGATACAGGCATTGGAGTCTCTTTATAGGGACTCTAATGCTTGTGTTAGGATCAACGGGGTCTACTCGGAGTGGTTTGACATCCATAAAGGTATGAGACAGGGCCGTGTGGCTTCCCCGTGGCTGTTCAACCTATTTATGGACAGTTGTTTGCAAAATTTGAAAGTTGAAGAATGCGGATTAAGAATGGGTGAGTTAACCGTCAAATGCCTTTTGTACGCCGATGATCTTTATATTCTTGCGTCTTATTTTGATCTTGATATTCTTGCGTCGTCGGCGGCCGAGTTGCAAATGATGGTTACATTAATAAACGGATCATTAAAAGAAAGGGGTATGAAAGTGAACGCAAGTAAGACGAAGGTTATGGTTTTTGAAAGAGAAGAAAGTAAAACGATTTGTGAAATAAGAATAGAAGGGGAGTTGATCGAGCAAGTAGATGAGTTTGTATATTTGGGCTGCGTATTTAGCAGGGATGGGAGATAAGGATATAGAACGACCAGTGAATGCGGGAAATAGAGTAAATGGGGCCTTGCACTCTATTGTGAAGAGTCAAAATGTGTCGAAAAAGGCACGTATGGCAATTCACAGTGCTGTGTTGGTCCCTACTTTAACGTATGGTAGTGAAAGTTGGGTGTGGCAGAAGAAGCACGAGAGTAGAATAAACGCAGTAGAAATGCGGTCGTTAAGGAGTATGTTAGGGCTGAATCTGAATGACAGGGTAAGAAATTGTGTAATAAGAGAAGAGTGTGGTTTGCAAGATGATGTTGTGACCAGGATTAAGAAAGGAATGCTTCGGTGGTTTGGTCATGTGGAAAGATGAATGAGGAAAGAGTGATAAAGAAAATTTATGGTGCAGAAGTGAATGGCAGAGTCGGAAAGGGACGTCCTAGGCGAAAATTTATCGACCAAATTGGCGATTTATTGAAAACGGGCCAAATTAGGAGTACCCTTAACCGACGAGCATGTATGCGTAGGTGTATGGATGTGAAGGAGGCAAGAGAGGTGTGTCAGGATCGTGCCAAATGGAAGTCTGTAGTCTCTGCCTACCCCTCTGGGTGACAGGCGTGAGTGTTTATGTATTTATGTATTATGAATACAATGTTCTACAAAAATATAGATCTTTACTCCAACTAAAAAATGTCCGCGATACTATACGCCTATTTCTTATACATATGCCACAATACGGTATTTTGTGACAAAAGAATATAGAAAATTAAAAGGTGTTTTTGTATGAATTTTTTATTTTACAGGATGATTGATTCAAAATTAACTGGAAGATTGGAGGAAAAAGCCCTTTACACTGCAATACGTATTAACGTTCTCAAACACATAGGTTTCATTACGAAATTTATCTTCTAACTCGGTTTCCTCGTGCTATGTCATTTTATATGGCTATTGCTAAGCCACCAAGCCATTGTAAGCCAAAATGAGTAAGTAAAAATAAGTGTTTTTTTTAAAGTATACTGCCATATCTTACTCTACAGGAATTGAATTTGTCTGCGCGAATTCCAAAGCTCAATAAAATGGGCAATTGGTTCAAGAATGTAATGCTTCCAATGAAACTTGCGCGGCGTACAATTGAAGTAATGCTGAACTGAACTCGAGCAACGTTTAACTAAATGAATCGAATATTTTGTAGGAAACATTCAAAAAAGTGCAATATTTAATTTAATGCTGTTTCATCGGCACTATAAAATTGTGAAAATTGTTCACAATTGACGAAGATGTAGTTACATAACTTACGAGAAAAAAGAAAATAAAGAGTCGAATTGAAAATGAGAACGTTCTTATTTTTTTGTCTCCTAAAAAGTCGTACTCGAGGTAATATCGTTTACCACCTACGACCGATACGACTTAGGGACCTTCAAGAAATGAGCATACTCCTTATTATAGGCCCGACATCGCACCTGCAATTTCCCTAGTGTTGCGATTGTTCGTGTTCGGTGGCAGTCGACACTTAACATTAGGTAAGTAAGCCGCATACTCGTTTGGCCTCATTTCTGCAAAAATAAAAATAAACATGTATTAACTGGAATAGAGCGATAACAGTCTGTCGCACTGTTTTAGTGTTGTAACCGTGTGTGTATTTTATTGCTTGGATATGCGGGTTTCATTGCCAACATTTTCCTTCGTTGTCGGGCAAATGGTAAATCATTTTATAAAAAAGCGTTCACTAGTATTAATGATCGTGACATCGGGAATCGAATTCAGGTTGTTCGCATCCCTTTCTCTCATAGCTAATTACGTTGGATTTATACACAGAAATACAAATGAAATTAAATTGGAGAAATTAATGCGAGGTTATCTATATATTTATTATATTTGAAATTTATTTTATTGCGGTAAATCCTAATATTTTCCAATAAAACTGAGAATTTACCAAGCCTAAATTTTACTACTATTAACGTAGTAAATTTTAGCTTTTACCTCAGATACGTAAGTAAAATGGTGAAATAAAAAAATAGTCATGTCCAAAAGTGTTTGGCGCACTTGTGTCCTCAGACAGTGTGCACCTCTCTCCGCTAGACACAGTCGGTCGCTTAGTACGTACGTTTTTGTTGAGTGTAATGCAAAAAAATTATGGAATACTGGACGAATTCGTGACAAGTAAGAAAGAAAATAACTTTTACCTCGATTGGGATAAATGTTTACATAAATTAAAGGTCAGAAAGCTCTCCGATACTTTAATGTTTAGAGAAATTAAAGGCTAAACTGGTCAGAGAGCCCCTTAAAATTTATCCAATGCAATGTGAAATAGAGCATCAATAGACCTTTCTCATGATACACGTATGCTCTATTTTTCATCAAAAAGCGAGGTTCTTTTGTCTTATTTATTATACGCTCGACGAAGCAATGTTTGGTTATCCAATGGAAATGGGCACCGCAACTTTAGCGATCGTTAGAGATATGATTGGAGTTATAAGATCTGAAGAAGATTTAGAGAATTTGTTGCATTCGCAGATAAATGCGGAACAATACGTTGCCGACGAAAATATAACTGAACATGACAAAGAAAATATTAAGGTTGAGAAAGTGTCACAAATGGCATTGTCCAATAACACTATCAAGAATAAAATAAAAGAAGATATTATTATGATATTAAAAAAAAACGATATTTATAATGTAACAATTGATGTTAATGTCACTAGAAAAACATTTTCAGCAACAATTGCAGGATGTTCTTGTAACTATAGAGTCAATACTAAAAAAGACTGAATATGTACTGAAAATAATCTGATAGGAAAAAATAATTAATAGGAGTAGTAAGCTTAGCCGACGTAGGTATTATGTTTGTAAGGAGAAAGCAAATGTGTTTATTTTACTGTACTCTACTTTAAAAACTCATCACAAAAATATCTTATAGTTTAGTCGGTAACATGATTCGATGTTTAATAAAGATATCCACCTTTTACTTAAATATTTTTATTTCCAAAACTAACCTTTACTAATAGTCATTGGTAAAACCTAGCATGTACCAAACTCTAATGGTAAAAACAGGAAAAATCGTCTCAGTTTATACCAAACCTTACATTTACCAGCTCATGTTCGTAAATCTTAATATTTAAAACGAATTTACAGTAACATAATATATAACGCACAGGTTAGATATAAAAAATTACAAAATAGTTTTCGCGGCATATTAGGCCTACATTACATTTTTGAGAAATAATAAATGAAATAGGTATATGGTCATTGGCTGTAGACTACATGGAGCATTAATTTTATTCCAAAAAACAAACTCGTTTAATCTTAACACAGTTGACTCAATTCCCAAATTAGTCACTTAAACCACAGAATTAAAAATATGCCTACATTACATTTGAGAAATAATAAATGAAATAGGTATATGGTCATTGGCTGTAGACTACATGGAGCATTAATTTTATTCCAAAAAACAAACTCGTTTAATCTTAACACAGTTGACTCAATTTCCCAGAATTTAGGTCACTTGAGATTACACACAAATGATCTAATTGAAGACGAACCAATTTAGAGTTAGAACAAAGGAGTGACGTAAGTTTTTAAACCTTTTCAACACTAAATTCATCCAATGCCGAGTTTTTTTTTGTAATATTAAGGTAATGCGGGGATAAATGTCACACTACATCTTCCATTGGACGATTCGACCTTCGATATTCTTCGATTCAGAATCAAAATGCAGATGCGTTGTCACCTCTGAGGCCTAAGATGGAATGCCTCGTTATCAGTAAAAATAGGCTCCGGTTCTTATCACTTACCATAGGAAACTAAGCAGCATTATGCTACTATTTCGCACTGATTCTGTATGGACAAGGGTCTTCCCCGATCGAGCTGACCCATTGTACGAGTATTAACTACACATAATAGGCACGTAAAATCTATTTGTCTATCAATAATGATGTCTTTTACTTATGCGAGTACTACGGATGGGCTTAAAGTATTTTTTTTGTAGATTTTGTTCTATTTCACACTTCAATTCTCACTTGATCAGTTTTTTAAGCTTTTTATTTAAGCTCAATTTAATTTGGGGAAGTTTCGATTGTTTTCACCGGCGTTTAAAAAACGATAGATGTTTGATGTTGCAGTGTGACAGTTGACCCAGGTTACCTGCATTAATAATTTAATCCAGTTTTCTATTACACATTTTCGTTATGAGTGACTAACTGTTTCCCACCTGCTTTTCTGGGTGGAAGTAAACAAGGCTTTACTACAGAAGTAGTAAGTAAAAGTTTTAAAAGTACCTATGTCCTATTCGACGGTTCATGCCGCAGCCATAATACGCTGATACGGTTGCAACGTGGCTTTACCACGTGAAAAATGATTGCGGATTGTCCACTTTAAATGATCGGACCCAATCCTTCACTTCGCTTTTAGACTGTTAGTCTTATTTGTATCGACATTTGTAGATTTTGACTTATTTTTGAATTCCTTTCTGTTTTAATAGATCGAATTTTGTTGAAATTGCTTTTTAAAATAATGAAACTATAGACCCTAAGGATTTTTATTCTACATTCAATCTATCTAGTATCTTAGAGATAATAACATGGGGTAAGTAAGTAGTTTGTCAGTATGGTTTTACCACAGTAACAATTTATGATACAAAAACTTTTTTCATAATTAATCTAAAAAAAAAGGAAAGACAGATATAATAAAATAATAAAATAATTTTCAAAAACTTGAATAGTTTCTGAAGTCGGGCTTTAAATTATCCGATACATTATGTCTTGGCACGGTGCATTGTTTGAATATTGGATAATCCACTTAAATGCCACACTTAAATGCCATGCTGCAGTTATATTAGTAGTATAGTTATAGCACGAATGGGTCGGCTCGACCGGGGAAGGACCACGCTCTCACAGAATACCAGCGTGAAATAGTAGCTTAATGCTGCTGTATTTCGTATGGTGAGTGTAGAGAACCGGAGACCCTTTTTACTGGAAACGAGGCATTCCATTTCAGTCCTCACGGGTGACAACGCATCTGCATTTTGATTTTTAATGGAGGACTACATCTAGTAGATGCCTATGGGCCGCAGCAACCACTTACCATCAGGTGGACTGTGTGCTCGTTTGTCACCCTATTCTATAAAAAAAAAGACCAAATAATAGAGCAATATTGGACCCTGTTGAGTGCTCTAATACAATAAATATCACAACCTCAAAAGAAGAAGTTAACGATTAGAATGTCTTCTAAATATTTACATTAATAATTTCAATCATTACTTGACGATCGTCTATGACGTAGAGTATTTAATAGAAAAAATCATTAAAATGGTCCGTAGCTATAGTATAGTTTCTGCAGCTATATAATGGTATATGTGGTAGAGCCACGCTGCAGCTATATTATGGTAGTAACACGAATGGGTTGGCTCGGCTGGGGTAGGACCACTCTCTCACAGAATACCATCTTAAAATAGCAGCTTAATGCTGCTGTGTTTCGTACGGTGAGTTTAGAGAAGCCGAGACCCTTTTTACTGGAAACAAGGCATTGGATCTTAGTCCTCAGTGGTGATAACGCAATCTACATTTTGATTCTTAATCGAGGATAAATGTAGATGTCTATAGGCCATAGTATCTACCTACCATCAGGTGTGCTCTTTTGTCACCCTTATTCTTTTGTACACTGTCATATTGTGAGTGCATAGTTCTTCTCTACTTGAGGCGGCATCCATAGCGTTGTTCAAATACAGGAAACAAGTTATTCGTTCAATATGAACGCACGCGTAAATACTACGAGAACAGTTGCTGGCGTCGAAGCTCCTGATGTGTGAAATGGGCTATACCGTTGTAATGGTATTCTGTTCGTAACGGTGCGCTCTCTAAATCTTCTTAAAGAATATTCCGTAGAATGAACCAATCAATAACTTAGTTGATACTAATACGATAGTATTTTCGTTCATGATGAATTAAAACTTAATTTATGGTGGAATGGAAATCACATCGGCGCTATTTTAAATCCACTGCCGAACACTGACCGGTCCAAGAATGCCCAGCTGGCGTTATTAATTGGAATATTTGCCTGTGGCACAGCACGCTGTACCATCAGAACCACGAGTATAATGCTCCTCATCAATATTCTGGGAAATTAGTGCCTGCTTTTGGAAAATCATCCTCCATTAGTAATATGAAGAACATTTTGACAAACGGCATGCCAGTGTTCTGGGTTTAAAACCAGTAATTCTGTGTTACTAAAAAGTATCTTTGTAGCGATGTACATAATCTAGCTAATACCCGCTCGCTTCGCTGACGTAGATATAAAATAAGAAGATTGTTTATGGGTTCTTAGTGAGCATCTACATTGCAAAATGAGTAAATATACTAAATTTTAAACTCAGTCGGGTGTATAGTTTTAGAGATATCGTGATGAGTACGTCAATTATATATATATATATATATATATATATATATATATATATATATATATATATATATACCTCCTGTCAGATTATTGAGTACTATAGCACAAGTTTAGTTTATTAATAACCAATTGATTTTCTCTGGAAAAAACCGTGAATGATTGGCCTTGCCATCGCGCGTTACAAAATATTTCTAGCTGTAACTGATTTTTTTTAAATACAAAACATAACACAGTTCACCTATAAAAAAAACTATTCACCAGGGTACAATAGCTTAAAAAACGTACCTACTTCATGCAGATTGCAAAACAAAAGTTATTGTAAAAATTCAGCAAAGATGATTATTAACTAGTGACCCGTTCCCGCTTCGCCTGGGTAGGTTCTAATAATGTGGCGTCATTTAGATTTTGGATAATAATGACCAATTATTTTATCAACATTTCTCAGGAACAATTACAAGTTTTTCAGTTAAAATATAAAGTAAATCCCTCCTGATATTGCCTTCAATCTGTCCGTAAACTATCATCACCATCCGTTCAGCCATTTCGAAGATTAGCCTGGACAAGCAGACGGACAAAATATTTAATAAAACCGGCCAAGAGCGTGTCGGGCCACGCTCAGTGTAGGGTTCCGTAGTTTCCCGTCCGTCACAATAAGTGTTCCCACTTATGAGTTTAAGGTGGGTATCCATTATGTTCGCGCTCCAGCAGCGCTCCGCGCTCCTGCAACTGCTCCCGGTAGTGGGTACTGTTGTTTCCATCCAAGTTCAAAATGATTTTCCTAGAAATTCCTTATAAAGTTCTACTTTTCAGATTTTTTTCATATTTTCTAAACTTATGGTTCAAAAGTTAGAGGGGGGGGGACACACATTGTTTTTTACTTTTGGAGCGATTATTTACGAAATTATTGACATTATCAAAAAATTATTTTAGTAAACCCCTATTCATTTTTAAATACCTTTCCAACAATATATCACACATTAGGGTTGAAATTAAAAAAAAAAATCACTTCCCACTTTACATATAGGGGGGCTACCCTAATAAAATATTTTTTTCCAATTTTTATTTTACCACTTTGTCGGCGTGATTGATACACATATTGGTACCAAATTTCAGCTTTCTAGTGCTAACGATCACAGAGATTAAGCGAGGACGGACAGACGGACAGACAGACATGGTGAAACTATAAGGGTTCCTAGTTGACTACGGAACCCTAAAAACGGCTATTTATGTCTTAATGGCAAGTTACTTCAATAATAAAGACAGTCCCTTCAATTGAATTAATTGGAAAAGAGTAAAAGGTGAACCGGTTTCGGCACCACTCAAATTTTTATAAGATGTAGAGTTACTAATTAATGGTGGTATCGTCTATCTCATTTCGT